GGGTCAGTTAGGCAGCAAAATGGAAATTGTGTCAACCCAACTCCAATTCAATTTATCCGATCTTTTCGAAAGTTATTCTGCATGAAAATAATCAATTCAGGAACCGAGAATTGTGAAGAGGATGCTGCAAAAATTATTATTAGAGCAGCTGACATACCAAATAACCATAACATAACATAACAATATTTTATTTACACAGTTAAAAATGTATATACATGTCAGGATTGGAAATAGTATATCAACACAACCGGAGATCTTCCTGTCGTGCGGTCAATCGACCGCCCGGACTTGTCCAACCTATATCTACCCCCTATCCTGTAAAAAAATGGTCAAATATTGTGGCCCTCACTCCTTACTGCACAGTATTATTGAGGGATTATGGTTGTTTTGGGATCGGTAATGGGAATTTGTATAAGGATATGTCGCGTTTGTGTTTTGGTTTTTGTCCCCTGAAAAAGCTAGAAAAAACAGGGTTGTCCTTGTGTGTATAGTTTGTTTGTTTAGTCTGTTGTTCAGTATTACAGCTCACAGGCAGACTGCTCGATGCACCGACCATCGAGGCAACAATCGTGGGTTTCTCGTTTGTTGCTTCGATGGCCGGTTCACCGTTCAGTCCGCCGTCCGACTAGTTTACGTTAGTATTTAGTCGGTGTGGGCTGTTGTTTAGTTTGTCTGGGATCGTTAAGGAGGAATGTTAAAGTATTTTTGTTATTATTATTACTGTCTGTGTCTATATATGTCCAGTTTCGCGTGTAAACAGCCGTGTTTTCTACGCACGCCGTCCCCGCGATAGATGCTAAAGATATCATCTCTCACATAATCGGGGAGACACCGTGTGTAGAAATTCTCGGCTGTTTCGAGTATGTAGTCCTTAATTCGTGGAGTCTGAGTTTGTATGTGCATGTCTTCGATTCTTGCATAACGGTCGTAGCCCAGAGCTAGCCGAAGACATCTGTTCTGCGTAATTTGCAGTTTGCTGTAATGACAGTTGGCCATCGAACAGTACACTGGACATCCATATGTCATGATCGGTCTTAGCATGGTTTTAAATATTAATAGTTTATTTTGCAGGGTGACTCTGCTCCTTCTGTTTAGGAGGGGATATAGAGTTTTGATGGCTGCTTGTGTTTTAGTCACCCTGTCTTTAGTATGCCGGTTGAAAGTCAGTCCCTTATCAAGCTGAAAACCAAGATATTTCATGTGATCTTTGGTTTCTACCTGTTGCCCCTGAATACTGAGTGGGGTTATAATGTTTCCTATTGTTCTGCGTTTAGTAATTATTAGACTCTCGGTTTTATGAGGATTTATCTTTATCTTGTTTTTAGTCAGATAGGGGACTAACTTCCTGTTTATATGGATGTCCAATGTCCTGAGGGCGAGTTCTGCAGAGAGATCGGAATTGTAAATACAGATATCGTCGGCGTACAGTGCCGTTTGTACCCCATTATCACCCATTGGCATGTCATGGGTCATAATGGTGTACAAATGCGGCGAAAGTACTGAGCCCTGGGGTACTCCCGCCTGCGCGATGTATGGTCCTGTCGTAGTATTGTTAATCTTTACGTTGTATTGTCTGTTTGTTATGTATGAATGAATTGTCTTTACAATATGTACGGGAAAATCATTCACAAGCATTTTGTGGATTAACCCGCAGGTCCAGACCGAATCGAAGGCCTTTTCGCAGTCAAGGGCGACAAGTACCGTTTGTTTGCTGACATTAGTGGCTTCTTTAGCGTAGTGCGCGATTCTTAATATTTGTGCAACGGTACTGTGCCCCCTTCGGAACCCGTACTGTTCCTGCGGGATAAGTCTAAGTCGTTGTTCAATATTGTTAAGTCTGTTTAATATAATAGTGTCTATGATTTTAGTTATTGTATTCAGCAGCGAGATGGGTCGATAGCTTTCTATGTTTTTTGGGTTTTTGCCGGCTTTTAAAATAGGTATAATATTTGCAATCTTCAGGCAACTAGGATAGTGTTGTAACCTGAAGATTGCATTTATTATGTAATTGAGTTGTACAACCCCCTTTTTGGGAAGGTTTTTTAATAAGTTATTAGTAATGCCATCCGGACCCGGAGCTTTTCTATTTTTGAGTTTCCTGATTGCATCCCCTACCTCTTTAGGAGAGGTCAGAGTAGAGTGGGGGACGTGAACTGGGTCAGATGCGCCGAAGTCATTAATTATTTCCTCAATTTGGGTTTGATGTTCATTATTTACGAATTGATTAGTGAAGTTATGCTGGAAGTGTTCGCCGAAGGCTAGTCCCTTATCATTATCGGTAGTAAATGTGTTTTGTCCTTGTTTCATTGTGGGAAGTTGTGAGCTGGGTTTTTTATACCTTCTTACTACCCCCCACAATGAATTGTCTCCCGGGTTCACTTCGGACAGGGTTTTTTGCCATATTTTATTTCTGTGTTGATTTATTTCATAATTAGTGTGCCTGGCGATGTCCATTAACATAACCCTGTCCTCGGCTCTCCTGTGTAGCTGCCACCTTTTTCGTATTTTGTTTTTGTTAGTAATCAGTTCTGTTATGTCGGGTGGCAGGATGTCTTTGTGTAGTGGGGTTGTTTTGATTTTTGTGGAGTCGTTTCTAGCTTTTTGTATGGTTGAGATTAGGTCTTTTGTGATGTTTTCTAGCACTTCGGGGCTTTGTATGTGAGCGTTAATGTGTCGTTTATTATTTGTCTGTATTTATTCCAGTCTGTGGTTTTAAAGTCGTAGTACTGTTTTTGTTGTCTGTTGATTTTTTGAGTCGTCCTTAGCTCCAAGCACACTGGATCGTGGTCCGAGTTAATAGTGCTTATTGTTCGAATGTTTTGGATATCAGGTATGTTTTTCGTGACCGCGATGTCCAGTGTGCTGGGGGTAGATCCGTTAAATGGGGTAAAAGTCGGTTCGTCCGTATAGTGGATGATAAGTTCGTTGTCGTCGGCGTACTCTTTCAGCATGTTACCTGATGGGTTCGGGTTTATACAGTTCGCGTCCCATTCAGGGTGTTTGCAGTTCAGGTCTCCTGCAAGAAAAACTCTGTTGCCTTTTGACATTAAGGCATGCATGTCTGCCGCAAGAATCCTTCTGGCTGGGGGGTTGTACACTCCTATAAAAATATAATTATTGCATTTTATTATTATGTGTTCAATATGCTGTGATGTTTGCATTGGGTAGTTATACAATTTGTATAAATGGAACGATATTTTCAGAAGTGGTTTAGCTCAGTGCTACACACTTTCGATGCAAAGGAAAAGACCTTTTGTGTCGCCAATTAATAAACCGACAAAATTTATCTGGATAAACCGTTTTAGTGATGCCACTGTTCTAAGCGTTTAGGATCCTATAAAAAACATTTAAGTAGGTACAATGACAAAATTGGAGTTCGACAAAAAAAATAACAGTAGTAATAACTTTTTATCTAACATTCAAACGTTCAAAAAATTTATACTTCTATACAGGGCTGGCTGCTTCTATACAAATTTTCTCCCCCGTTTTCCCCCTTAAAATGTGAAAATCCAAAAACCCTGAAACAGGTCATTATTTATTTATGCTTAGTAGCTGTAATTTAAATTTTCATGTTTCTAACTTTAAAGAACAAAGAGTTTCATTAAAAGCTCCCTCCCCCCTTTAAAGGAACGAAACCTTTAAACTTAAAATTTCCAAAAATCCTTTCTTAGCGGATGCTTATGTTATAAAATAAAACAATGTTCAGCTTTCTAGGCTTAGTAGTTTTGGCACAGCTTATACAATTGTATAAGCTGTGGTTTTGGCTGTACGTTGATAGGTCAGTCAGGACAAGATATTGTCATTTTGACAAATGGTTTAGCAAAAGTACAATTTTGGAAAAATATATTCGTGAAAATGGAATCAGATATTCAATATGTTGCACGTGAAGACCCCATTCAAGCAGGAGAAAATGAAAATGCAAGTGTATTGGCTCGCGATTTATATAAAAAACCACGATTGTATTATAGATTATTTATGACAATATTTTTTTCAACTTTTGGAGTAGCATTGATGGTTTTCATGGTTCTTTTTAAAGCTAAAATACGGTTTGGAAATGGAACCGGCCATTCTGACATGGCTAATCTTCATAAATTAGTAAAAGCCGAAGTCCAGTGGCAAGAACCGATTAATAAAAATGTTTCATCGTATTACTTATAAAAATTTCAATTATACTCATTTGAATTATAGATATGCAGACTGTGATTTTTAAGTGAAGTTTCTGTTGATACCTACTAATGTTAAATACCAATATTTCAAAAATTATTTGTTTAATTTTTAATAATATAGATGTGTGCTAGATACTTTATTAAAAATGAAGCAAAAGTTTAGAATTAGAAATAATTATTTGAGCAAGTATTGTACCAAATCTACAAAATTTCAACAGCTATATCTACACGTGTGTCTTTTTTTCCACCGGTTTGTTGCAACCGTTGTTTCACCGATGCGGCCTTGAACGTTTTGTGTTGGATTCTGGTTGACCGTTGAAATAAATAACAGTTGACATACCGCACCGATGCCAACGTTGCTGCAACAGTTGGATAAAAAGACACACGTTACGCTAATGCATTACGTGTGTCTTTTTATCCAACTGTTGCAGCAACGTTGGCATCGGTGCGGTATGTCAACTGTTATTTATTTCAACGGTCAACCAGAATCCAACACAAAACGTTCAAGGCCGCATCGGTGAAACAACGGTTGCAACAAATCGGTGGAAAAAAAGACACACGTATTACGTTTACTTCGGTTGTGCTACTTTACCTAATCTATGGTTGTGCTACTTTACCTAATCTATGGTTGTGCTTCGGTTCAACTTTACTGATATGAGAGACAAGAGTAGGCCAGTCGTCATCGGCCCTACTCAGAGGGGGCCAGATTGTTGGGAACTCTAGTACATACTCTAGTAGAGATCTTAAAGGAATAAAAAAAGAAGATTATTTTAATAGGAAAAACTGCGAAGATGTTAAAATAAAAAATCTGATATTTCTTTTAATAAAAGTACCATGTACGATATAAAGATTTTGAATATTGAAGGAAGTTGTACAGACATTCCTTCAAGAGAAATTAATAAAATCTGCCGGGCATGTCTTAAGCAAGAGGGTACAATAAATTTATTTCAAAACAAACACAAAGATTTACTGTTTTGTGAATTATTTACATTATTTTCTTTATTTCAAGTAAGTACGTTTGTAAATATTTATTTTAATAAATATGTTTTGTTTCAAAAACAGATATTACATAAATTGGTTTTCTCTTTATATACATTTTTGATATTTATTTATATGATTGAAATCAAGTACTAATTTGCTGATTATAGAACTCCCTTTACTTGTTTATGTGTTTATTGTACCTACTTTACAAAAAAAAAAACATAAAAATTCCTTATATTAGTAGCAATTGTATTTCTATCAATTACCTGATACATTTTTTAGGCAGAGCAAGAAGATGGTTTTCCACAAAATATATGCCAATTTTGTGCAGATTTAGTAACACAATTCTATTCTTTTAAGCAGATTATTAAAGAAAATCACATTATTTTACAAATATCATCAGAAATAAACAATTTAGATAAATCAGCATCATTTAAAGATGATTTGGTTACAGCAAAAATAAGGCAGCCTAATGTTGATAGTACAAATTCTGACCTCATTTTGGATATACTTAATGATAAAGAAAATGTTGAAATCACCAATGGCAATTCTATAAGGTTGGAAACCTCAAATAAGCCTGAAAATGAAGATAATTTATCTTTACCATTAGATCATGATTATGCCAAAATTTGTAATGTCGAAATTGCTTGTCCATGTTGTTTTCAGAAGTTTAGTAGTGAATATGAATTTATGAGTCACAGAATGAGGGAAGCTAAACAAATAGAAAGTAGTAGCAACATAGAAGAGTTTACTTGTCTCTTCTGCTATAATAAATTTGGCTCTAGAAATGATTTTTTTGATCACATGAAACTACTATCTGATGAAAATGAGCTTAAACCAATTGTTGAAGAATATACATGTCCCAAATGTAATCTAAAGTTAAACTCGAGATGTGAATTTCTAAAACACAGAAGAGAAGAAATAAATGAAGAAATAAATGATGTTCCAGAACCTCTAACGACCTTTAAAAGAGAAAATGAAGGATATACATGTCCTAAATGTAATCTAAAGTTTAACTCCAGATTTGAATTTCTAAAACACAGAAGAGACGAAAGAAATGGTGTTTCAGAACCTCTAAAGATCTCTAAAAAAGAATATCATTGTAAACGTTGCAAACTTAAATTCAATACCCATAAAGAATATGCTGAACACAAAAAACAAGAATTTATTGGATATACCTGCACTGTTTGCAATATTAAATTTTTATCCAGAACTGAATACATACTTCATAAAAAGGAAGAAGCTGCAAAAAAACCAAAAATTATTCCGGGCGTAGAATTTGTGTGTCCTTACTGTTCTCTTAAGTTTTATTCAAGAGGTGAATATATGAAACACAGAAAAGAGGAAGCTAGAAAAAAATCATTATGCCCTTATTGTAAAAAAGTCTTACATACAAGTCGTTTTGATAATCATTTAAGATCAATACATAAAAAACTACCACCTTTAACTTGCGATATTTGCAAAAAACGGTTTGTTTCATCAACTTGTTACAACAAACACATTATAGCTCACAGAGATGGTTTCGCCTGTGAGATTTGTGGTAGGAAATGTTTATCTGCAAATGCACTGACAACTCATAAAAAAACACATGAGAGAGAAAAGCCTGTGTTTACTTGTGAAATTTGTGGCAAGATTTACAAGCTCGCATATTTATTCAGGGAACATATGTATGTTCACACAGGCGAAAAACCTTTCTTGTGCTCTGTTTGTGGAGCTACATTTATTTCCCAATCCAAACTTAACCAACATACCCTCGACAAACACACTGAGCGACCCTTTAAATGTGAATTGTGTGGAAACATCTATGATACTGAAGAAAAATTAAATCGGCACACTAAAAGACATGAAGATGGAAAAAATAATGTGTGCAACATCTGTGGACAAGAATTTTTGATGAGATCTTGTCTTACTATGCATTTAAAAAGTCATGATCTAATACGTGTAACACGTATAGGAAAAAAGAGGAAAGTGTCATGTTTAACTTGCTATAAAGAATATTTTGAACATAATTTAGTAAATTTTCAAATGCATATAAGGACTCATTTAGGCCAATCTCCATATCTTTGTCTATTTTGTGGAAAACAGTTCCATGAAGAAAATGAATATAATATTCATATGGCATTGCATGGTAACAGGAGATTGAAAAAACTTCATAAGTGCGATATTTGCTTTGGGATATTCGCTTCAAATGCAGCACTATCCAATCATATGAGGTGTCATACAGGGGAAAAACCTTTCCAGTGCACTCAGTGTGGAAAATCCTTTAATACAAGGACTCACTTGAAAACACACATGTTTTGGCACACAGGTCAAAAGCCTTTCTTATGTAAATATTGTAATAAATCCTTTGCTATGAAAGGTAATTGTGTGCAACATGAAAGAACACATGAAGGCAGTGGAGATTATAACTGCAGAATATGTGGAAAACAATTTCATACTGGCAGTAATTTAAGGAAACATCACCAGAAAATACACATAAAGAGCTTTCCTGGAAATGATATGCCCATTTTGTCTTAACAGGCAATATGAAGCCACATGCATTTTTAAAGATGTTTTGAATTGAAGGGTACAGGGGTAAAAAGGTAAATGTCACAAAAATTAGTTTTCTTTTTAAATTTGTAGACTTGTATATCTTACATCTAAAAAGATTAAGAATTCATATCTTTTTAAGGTATATGTACCTATGCATGATTTACTTATTTTATGTATAAAGACTACCAATTGAAGGGTCCAGGGGAAAAACATGATAAGTGCCAATTTCATAATTTTAGGGTTTTACATCAACTGGTCCATACAAAATGCATAAACTCTACGGAGAAATAAAGGTTAATTCCGAGGGGCGAATCACTCCCGCAATACATGTACAAAATGTCCGAAATCCCATTGAAAATCGCCGCAGTCCCATCAAAATCAGCGACAATCGCTAAGAAATCCTCGCAGTCGTTCAGAATTCCCTCGCAGTCTCCCGAAATCTCCCGCAGTCGCTGAGCAATCACTAGCAATCATTAAAAATCGCGCGCAGTCAGTTGAAATTTCACCAATTCGCCATTGTGCTTTGACTAGGCCAACTAAGCCATCTTGTGTAAAATTAAACAAATTGCATTTTTTTTCTTTATTGGTCTCAACTTATTTAAGTTATTTAGTTATTTAAGTTATTTAACCAGCACTAACATTAGTTACATGAAAATAAATACAATAAAATTTAAAATACTATTTGGCTCTGTAAAATTAAAAAAAAATAAGGTGAACAAAATTTTTTATAAATTAATGTTAGAAATTGCATTTACGTTTATTGAAAGTGTTGTTCCATCAATTATTAATTTTAAAATGCCATTTTTGGCAAAGTTCATCAAATTTCTGATCTGATCTGATAGAAGATACTTCCAAAGTGGTCCAGAATTGTCTCTATTTCACCTGAATTTTATTTAATGCATAATAAAATTGTTTGTATTTTATTATAGGGGGTCATGCACGTTTTAAATAGGGTTTTAAATGTATTTTATTTAAAAAGGAATTAATTTATTGACAGATTACATTTTTTACTTTCCTGTCTGTATACAGATAAGGAAAGTATAGGAATCATGATCTTTTTGACGGATTTTTACGTTTTGGGGTTCCCTAAATTTGTTTTGACTATTTTCGTGATGATGTATGTGTGTGTCTGTATACTCAATAACTCATGAACGGATAAAGAGAAAAACACTAAACATTAAGCTTAAGCTTTGATTAATCCTCTAATAATAAGTGAATTACATTTAGGCATAGTAGGAAAATCTAGGGGGGGGGTAATTTATAGGGGTCGGTTTTCTACTACAAATATATGTTATTTACGCTTGGAGAAGAAAATTTTTTAAATTAAAGTTGCTTGTGTTGCTCTATAATTTTTATCCTATAGGTAAATAATTTTCCTAAAATTGTTCGTATTCAAAAATGTTTACAAAAAGTGCATATTTAGAATTTTTAAGAAAATTATTCAAATAAAAGTTGCTTGTGATGTCTTTCTCTATAATTTTTTGTCCTATACATGATTTGTACCGTATTCGAGATATTTGAGGAAAAGTGCAAATTTCGAATATGGTGAAAACTCAAAAATGGTTAAAAAGAAAAACATAGAATTTTAAACTTGAGCTTCATCCATCCTCTAATGAGCTGATTAGTTTTTGGGCATAGTCAGAGCACTTTGTAAAGGGTCGTTTTTCTGACTAATAGAATATTTAGTATAGATCCAAGTAGCTGTTACCCAATGAGTTTCTTAGCGAGGTCCAACGTAGAGGACTGTACTAAATTAAGTTCATTAGATAATAAGATTTGCTTTGTTTTTAAATTTCGTGTTGTTACTTAATTCTACATTACTATTATTTTTTTATAGGGTTTGCAAAGTATCCAATAAATAAATATATGTTATTTACACTTGAAGAAGAAAATTCTTCAATTAAAAGTTGCTTGCGATATTTTTCTCTATAATTTTTATCCTATACATAATTTTCCAAAAATGGTCCATATTCGAGAAATTTTACAAAAAGTACAAAATTCGAATTTTTAAGAAAATTGTTTAATTAAAAGTTGCTGGTGATTCTCTATAATTTTTGTCCCATACTTGATTTTCCTAAAATGGACCGTATTCGATATATTTGAGGAAATTGCAAATTTTGAATTTGGAAATTACTCAAAAACGGATAAAGAGAAAAACAAAATTTTAAACTTAGGCCTTAGGTACTTTTTAGGGTGTCTTTTTTTTACTTTAATTAATACTATCTCTGTTATTTACGATTGGCGAAAAAAATTCTTCAAATAAAAGTTGTTTGTGATATCATTCTCTAAAATTTTTGTTTTATACATGATATACCTTTAAAATGAACCGTAATAGAAAAATTTGATAAAAAGGGTAACATTTCGTTGGCAATAAATACATGTAAAAATATTTGCAGTAAGATGTAAACATTTACAGGGTTGATACAGTAGGTTGTACGAATTAACCGGAAAAAGCTTGTAATAACTAGACAAAAAGTCATGTGTTGGACGGGATACATCAGATTTTTATGTAAAAAAGCGGAAACAATTATTTTTGCAAAAATAGTACACAGAAACTATAGGGATAAAAACACCCTGATTCATCCCTTTAGCTTTAGAATAATAGTCGATAGGTGCAGTGTTACTATGAGTTTATTTAATTTAGGTAGATATGTTTAAATAAAGAGTGATTCACAATAGTAGTTTGTGCAACAAAAGTGGATATGATGGTCATATGTAATACGTATAATCCACTCAAGTTGTACAGTATATTTTATTACGACCCACTAACGAAAATTTACAAAGTTTTAAAAAATAAAATGACTATTTTAAAAATAGTTGATGACTTTTATTAATTTATTAAATAAAATAAACTTTAAAAAACAAAAAAAAATAATTTACGATATAAGTATTTGTAAATATTTAAATATACTCGAATATCTTGTGAAATGCATTTATTTACTGATTCTTTACAAGAATCATTCATTTTTAATTACATCTAATCTCAATAACTAAAAAAATATATTGACATATTAGTTTGACAGAATTGTGACTAATTTAACATATTAAAAAATAAAGTTAATTCATTAAAACAAATTTCACGTTGTTTTCATGTCTTATACAAACTTTAGTTTTTCTTTTTTTTGTATGAGCCATAAATGTCCTATACAAAATTTAATTCTCCTGATATAACACCCAGCTAATGTTTTTTACTGGAAACCAACTAGAAAGCCATACATTGTAAAAATCCTTCGGAAATGCCTGCAATGAAAAAATAGTAGCAATCCTTACGGAAATAGCCGCAGTCACGAAAAATCTATTGAAGTCATGTGGAAATCACCGCAGTAACTAGAAATGTGTAGGAAGTCACATGGAAATCACCGCAGTCATCCAGAAATCGCTATATAATTGTAGAAATCATGTGAATTCGGCAATACATGTACATTTTTACAAAGAGTGATTCGCCCCTCGGTTAATTCCCATTATATATGCCTAGTAAAAATATGCAAACGTCGAAAGAACCTGATAACCACCAGCCATTTTTTATATCTCGCATAAAATTACCAAAATGGCGCTTATCATGTTTTCCTCTGGACCCTTCAATTGGAAAGCTAAAAAATTAGCGGAGTATAATTGGTAATTGTATTTGTTATTAACACTCTCAACCTCAAGCGTATTATATGCCGCGTTTGAGAATCCACATCGGATGCATTTTTTACATCTCGAGCGTTTTTTTATCCACATCGGACACATCTGTCCCATTACATTTACGTATACTGAATCACGTGATCAAAGATTTTTTACATCTCAGATGCATCCGATGTGGATTCTCAAACGCGGCAAGTGAATACATCATTGCTCATGCCACCAATACCAGGTGTACTCTTCGGGTCAAATTTGGATCGGCAATGTATTTTATAGAATACATTTATATGAGATTTTATGTGCACAAGGTACATACTCTGGCCTAGCAGTGTACATCAATGTATCTATTTTTTTCTATGGTGGGTAAAAATAGCTGTAAAGAAAAAGGTCAATATATTGAGTAACTAAAAATTCTGAATATTTATTATTTTGAAAAATAGCTAAAAACAGTTAAATTAATAAAAACCATACATTGTCCACAAAAAAATTAAATCGAAATAACAAAATTGGTACAAGACTTTATATCATATAACTACTAATAATCACTCTCGATCTGGGACAAACAAATTGTCAGAAACGCCTTGGTGTTGAAAGTGTTAATATGATTATAATTATAAAAATCAAACAGCAGCATTTTGGCTATAAGGTGAATTTGTCAAATAATGTCCTGCATCTGTATTTTCGCAAAACCTTTTCAAGTCTGAGATTACAGTACGTCAAAAAAGCTATATGAAGTCGTTTGTGGTATTTCAGATCTGATAACTCAAATTAACCATCAAGTACTTCAAGATTTCAGTGTTTTAGTTTAGGTGGAATTATTATCACAGAAATAGTGAAGGCTCTGTTATAAGATTCAAGATACTGTATCATACTGGGCACTTCTTCTAAGTTTGTAAGTTCTTTGATTAGTCTCCTCTCAAATGGACACTTTATAAAAAGTGTTTTGTAAGGTGACCAGTCTATTGCAGTATCGAAATATATTCTGGTTTTTGCTTTACTATTAAGTAAAATGGGCATGGCTTTGTCCTGAAATTCCGAATGTGTTCATTCCACTCTGATGGAAGTTTTGACTTCTGATTAATTAGTCTCATATTACGATCACATTCTAGTCATCTGAGTCATTTTAATTTTCACGTCTGTTCTGTACTAAGTAGTGATAACTACTTATTGTAGGTGAATTTTTCACCGACATGGCGGACATTCATCTTTATTGCTCTGAACACGTTTATTTAAATTCGTTATAACTTGTAATGCTCATTGATTTTAGCTAGTTCTAAGACTATCACATTCTAATGTATTTTAACTATGAATCGCATATTAATCTCAAAATCGCGGTTTTTGGACATTCATATTTTTACCCA